TTAACCGACTTGCCCAAGGTCAGAGAGCTAGTAATTAGAACAGTCACTTCAGGCTATTACCTACTTAGAATCCTAGAGGCTGAAAGTGATCTGAGAAATACAGTGACCATATTTTCAGAACCCAAAACTAGGACATTTAGCCTGAAAAACCCAAGTACATTTACAGGGACAGTGAACAGATTATCTGAATTGGTACTGTCCCAGAAAAGGGGATTTAGGGCTGTGGCTGTTAGAGATCATCCAGTCCAATCCCCGCATTTCATAGTTGAGGCAACTGAAGCCCAAGGAGCCTAAGTGACTTGCCGGAGGTCGTAGGCAGAAATGTTTTCTGTTTTCTCAACTCTGAAGGTTGAGTCAACAGGGCGTGGGTGGGAGAGGACAAAAAGGGGCCATTGATCCAGGGCGCTTTCCCTCACATGGACTGACCTAACCCCACAGTGCCTGCTTTAATCCAGCATGGGTGCAGCTGTCCCCTAAACACCAGAGAAATAACATATGAAACCAGATAAAGCTCAGGGTCTTCAGCTCTTGCAGGCCTGGGCAGCTAAGGAAAAGGAATTTGGAGACCTAAAGTACGTTTTCTTCAGAAGCATAGGACTCTGTGGAAAGTAGCTATAGTTTTCTAAGGTTTTCTTTTTACCCCCAGAAATAGGATGCTAAAATGACAAGATATAAGCTAATAACCCCCCCTGGCTTTCTAAATTCTAGTGTAAATCAAGGCAAAATGTCAAACAGGCAGGTATTTTAAAAGGATCCGCATAAGCCCTGTAATGAACTCAGCACCATAAATATTTATTATTAAGCCTTCAATTTGCTCCTGAGCCCTACTTCATGCACTGTTTGACCTCATTTTCTATTTAGTAAGAGAAAAGAAGGCAGCGTAAAGAATCAGCTCAAGGGCTCAGGGCAAGTCCATTTCCAGCCAGTTTCTTTGGCCTTGAGGCCCCCAATCTCTACATCAATACTCCTTCCCAACATTAAAAAGTTCTCTTCGTGGTGTCCTTTTAACACTGCAGCTATCCAAATTAGGACTCCAAGGAGCAGATGGAATCCTTCCAACTGCCAGCCTAACCTCTCCTGTATGCCAGTGCAGAACTACTCTGCTGATAGAGAAATTGCTTCCCGGAAAACCAATTTCCTCCTTATTGTCCTGCAGGCTGCTGTGAGACACCATGCTGGGTGGGGTGAGCTCTTGGCCTGTTTATTCCACCGAGAGAGTGAAATTGCAAAGAACATGTTGCTGGGACTGATATTTAGAAGACATGTTTGAATGGGAGTTGTGTTTCCAAGCTCGCGGTTTAGACATTTTTTTCCTGATGCTTATTTTCCATTGATCTAGTTGCTTTGCACCCTCTGAGGGCCTGGAGCTAGTGTTCTCAAAGCCTCTCTGCCCACGATACACCCACTATTATCGAGGTCCAACAATTATTTCATTCATTGCTTCGTTCATTCATTTCCTCTACATTTGTTTCTAAAGAACTGTAACCTGCCATTCAAGCTCACTATTCCACTGGCAGCGAGTCCAGATAGGCAGTGAATGGCCAGCCTCTACAAAGTGCTCCCAACACGCTGTCCCAATTGGAGCCCTTTTCTATGTCCCCCCTCGACTCAACCTTCAATCCTGCCTTGGAGGAGAGCAAGTGACAGTGAACTTGAGAAGAGCTAATAAAAACCTGATCTCCCCGATAGCATCTTCTTTAATTATTTAAAGAAAGGGACAGCTTGTTTAAAAACACTTCCTGTTCCAGTTCTTTTGTTGAAACTCTCTTAGAGTCAGTGACAGGTTGTAGAGCTGAGAGTAGGAAGGGCTGGCATTGTTGAGAGAATACAGCAGAAAAGATGCTTTTAGATAGAAAAGGAAGGACGATGCAAAACACCCTTTGAAGGAAGTTATGCACACATTTTCTTTTCCAACCAAAAATACCAGAAAAGACACCTTGCATATTAAAGAGCCGATTTCAGAAGGCCAAGAGAAGGGTCAAGTTTAACTTGCTGTTACCTGTGAATACAGCAGAATGAGCAAAGGATTTCAAGTCTGATCTGAAACCTGGGTCTACCACTCAGTAATTGCGTGACCAAGGATAAGCTATTTAACTGGCCTCGCCTTCAGTTTCCTCATCTATAAGACAGACATAATCACAGCTACCTTATCAAGGTAATTTGAGGATGAAACAGGGGTTACCGGGAGGCATGCAAGAGCTTAGCAAAGACCTAGTACTTAGTGAATACACAACACCTGTGATCTTAAAACGACTAGGGCACTGAATGAATTGAGAGGAAAGAAAGGCAATGGGAGTAACTACCTGGACTGCTCCAACATGGTTTCTGGTGGATTTATTTTCCTGCTGGACTTTATTCCCTGGAATATACATTTCAATTCTTCACACACATTTAATGAATAGGTACTTAATTAGGATTAGACACTGCACTCATTGGAAACCACTGGGTCTTTGTGTTTTGTTTGCTTGTTTGTTTTTTGAGACGGGGTCTCACTCTGCTGCCTAGGCTGGAGCACAGTGGCTAATCACAGGCGTGATCATGGCACACTGGGCTCAAGGGATCCTGCTGCCTCAGCCTCCTGAGTAGCTGCGATTACAGGTGTGCACCACCATGCCCAGCTCTCTGGGTCTTTCAGTCACAGATCACAGAAGAAAGTTCAGACAGAAGCTGGACACTAGGAGAGAGACACAAAAGGTGTAGGTAGAGCTATGGTGTCTGCTCAGGCTCTGTCTTAGTAAATGTGGGGCCTTTGGGAATCAGTTTCTGTTCCTTTTTTGGAAGAGGAATTATGGAGCAGAGAGACTAGAGAGCCAATGGAGATGGATCTGTCTTCGTTCATTTATGCTACTGTAACAAAATACCTGAGACTGGGTAGTTTATAAACAACAGAAACTTATTTCTCACAGTATGGAAGGCTGGGTGGTGAAAGATCAAGGTGCCAGCAGGCCCAGTGTCTTGGTCTCTGCTGGTCCTCAGACAGTGGAAAGGCAGAAGGACAAAAAGGGCGAGTTCCCTCCAGTCCTTTAATAAGGAATGAATCCAGTCCGTGAGGTCAGAGCTGTCATGACCGAATCACCTTTTAAAGGCCCCACCTCTTAACACTGTTGCACTAGGGATTGCGTGTTCATGTGAATTTTGGAGGGAACACAGCTTTCATACCATAGCAGGGTCCAAGCTGAGAAATCGGTAATAGGAAAATGAACAAGGAGAAGGGAGAAACAGAAGTATGCTACTCAGCTTAACCACCAGCCTCCTCTTATGAGTATCCACCCTTGTCTGTTTCCTGGCCCTAGTGTATGCATTGGACTAATCTCAGCAATATTTACAAAGCACTTACCTGGGCAAGGCAACGTCTAGGTATTGTGGAAAAGAACAGGGTGACTCATTTTCTTTAATGACACTTGTACAGAGCTTACTGTGTGCTAGGCACCTTTCTAAGGACCTTATAAATATATTAACTAGGTTAATATTCAAAACAACTCAATGAGATGGGTTTTTTATTATCCCTAATTTACCAACTAGAAAACTGAAGTATGATCATAATAGCTACTTTTTAGTAAGTATCTAAAATGTGGGCAGGGCTTCAATGTTTCTTTTCTTTTCTTCTTGGTTTTTTTTTTTGTTTTTTTGAGATGGAGTCTCATTCTTTTGCCCAGGCTGGAGTGCAGTGGTGTTATCTCGGCTCATTGCAAGCTCTACCTTATGGGTTCACGCCATTCTCCTGCCTCAGCCTCCCGAGTAGCTGGGGCTACAGGCGCCCGCTACCACGCTTGGCTAATTTTTTTGTATTTTTAGTAGAAACGGTGTTTCACCATGTTAGCCAGGATGGTCTCGATCTCCTGACCTCGTGATCCGCCTGCCTCGGCCTCCCAAAGTGCTGGGATTACAGGCGTGAGCCACCGCGCTCAGCCTCAATGTTTCTTAAATGTAGTCTTCAGAGCCCTATAAAATCATGTATTGCTTGTATTTTACAGAGGAAGAAACTGAAGCTCGTTGAGCTTAGGTGACTTGTTGACAGCCATGCAGGCACTAAGCGGTGGAACTCCACTGCATGACACCAGCTCCTGGATCTCCAAGTCACAGTCACTATCCTCAGGAAGCTGAGATGAGATGTGGGATAAGCACGCCTTACAGACAGATGCAAGTGTGCAGCAAGAAGTTCCTAAGTCCTATCCTTCCTCCCCACTCCCATCGCCACAAGCATCTGGGATTGAAGCTCCCCATCTTGCTGTGGGTGGAACGGAATAATCAGACTTACAGAAAAATTTACAGAAAAACTGAAGTGAGACCCCCACCCTCCAAAGGCGGCCTCAGGCCTGAAGGTTTAAAGACAGACTCAGGTTTTATTGTGTTACTGCCACCTTCTTAACCCCTGCCCTCAGTTCCTCATGCCCCAGCCTTTCTCTACCCTTACTCTTCCTTTATCTCCAAGCCTATGTGATTGAAAAATAATCAGCCCTGGAAAGGGAAGGAAGGGGTCTCAATGAAACAAGAGAGTGAGGAGGTGAAGGGTGGCTGAGGAAGTGGGGAGGTGGGGGCCCCAGGGTGGAGCTCAGAGGCCTCATTCCCCAGGAAGCTCACCCTAGGCAGAGGAGGGCCATGGCTCAGGCTGCGCAGGGCAAACAAGCAGTGTGGCTTCCAGAGCCCCTGCTGAGGATTCGCACTGGCAGGTGCCTTCTCCAGGGTCAGGAAACTGTAGCTCCAGGGCGAAGGGGATGAAAGCTGGGCAGAGCCTCTGAGATGAATGCTGGTCCAACCTCTCCCCACTCTCTTCCCCTCTACACAGCAGCCAGAAGCCCAGTGTTGTGGCCCATATTGCTTTGAAGTCCTGCCCTTTGTCCTCTTCTTCCTGAACAGATCCGTCTTCCTGGGGCAGGACATGCATTCCTCACACCATACTTTTTGAAGCCGATGAGGTAAACCTGGCCAAGCCGGTTAGTGCTGGGGTGGAGCCCAGCCACGGCCCTGATCCAGAGCCTCTGTTACCTGGGGCAGCAGAAGGGAATGAGAAGACAGCTGTAAATCATGTCCGGCCTGCTGATGACATTCTCCTCTCTTAGCTAAAGGACTGAGGATGGTACAGCTCCTTGAGTGACTCTGGGCAGGGCGGCGAGAGGGAGCCCCTTAGTCCGTGTTTGGGGAGGAGGAATTCAGATCCTGGGAAAAACAGCAAGCAGCAGCAGGTGTGGAGTAAGCAGGGAGTGACCCGTCTGGGACAATTGCCTAGAATAAACACTATTGTCTGCCACAGGCTTTTCTGTGCCAGCCTGGGCCTGCTGAGCTGACCGTGTTTGAAGGGCCAGTCGTGGGCTAAGCTAGGCAAGCTGAGATCAGTCCTGCAGGAACCTGAGGTCATCACAGGATGTGAAGACAGAGGTCAGGAGCCTGTGGGACCAGGAATGAGCGAGGAGATCGAAAGTAAGTGGCAAGGGAGTGAAGACCCAGGAGGAAGGCTGGAACCAGGCTGGGTGGCATTCGTTCTTACCAAAGGCTCACTTCCTGGTATCATCTTGGATGGTCCAGTTTAAAAGAACAAGACCTGACCAGAAACTGCAGAGCCTCTCTCCAGACTTCCGGCGCTGGCTTCAGTTACACCCACTGTCTTCCCACTGTCTTCTCAGCCCCTGGGATGCACACGCTCATGCATCCAGCCCTGCTCCGGCTGTCCTTGCGACCCTCTGCTTTTCACTCACCTCCCAGTGCTATTCTTCTTTATCCCAGGAAACTTGCATCCTCCTCTTATTATCTTCACTGCTCAGAAACCAACAAAGATTTAACCACATGAAAATGCACAATTTTACCCTCATTCTACTCAAAATGACGTAATTCACCTTGTCCTTCGGGGGTGGGGGGACTTACAACCTCATTCTCTCCTCTCCCTTTAGACACTGAGCATTAGGAAACTGTTACCTGGAGGAAAGGCCCATTGAGGAAGGTACCGTGGTGACCCAAACACAGCCCTGGAGGAAACATGCCATCCAGAGCAGGCTAGGACCTACTGATGGGTGTCCTGGGAAAATGGCCCCGCTCCACTCCCCACCCCGGGACCTCTGTGAGGTATTTTACTTCAGGAATGATAAGCACAGATCTCCAGCAAAGCGCTTTCTTGACCACAGCCAGTTAGGTGAGAACACAGCCATAGGGAAGAAGGCAGCAGCAGGCAGAGTCTCTGACAGCCACCAAATTGGAGCTCTTACTTCCTCTCCTCCAATCATCTCTCGTGGAACCTAGGCCATCTATTTTCATTTTGGAAAAAAGAAAGCAAAGGAAAGGAGGGGGAAGGGGAGGGGAAGGACAAGGGGAAGAGAGAGGAAGGGGAAGGGGTGGGGGAGGAGGAAGGGAAAGAGGAAGGGGGAAGGAGATGGGGAGGGGAAGGGAAGGGAGGTGGGGAGGGGAGGGGAAGGGGAGGGAAAAGAAGGGAAGGAAATTAGGGAAGAATAAAGAGGGACAAGACAGTGGTCATGGAGCGCCCCCTGATTATAACGTGTCTGCATTTTCTCAAGTTGCAGCTTTCACCTGAGAGTCAGACAGTTATAGATGAATGAGGAACAGGGACTAAATAAAGGAAGTGGAAGGGAGAATCATGGCTGAAGCAGTGGGGTATATTTCCTTTTACTTATTTCCCAGGCAAAGGCCAACTGGTACAAGTCTCCGTGATTGCCTTTTGTTCACGTATTAGGAAATGTGTATTACTTGCTCTGCTGTCCTAGTGTTTCAGGTTTTTATTTGTATTTCTTCATACAATGTCAACAACACATAGGCAAGAAAGCCTGAATGCATGTTTGTGACTTCCTTGAAGGCAAGGGCCCACCTGCCTAGCCTTACACATTGCACACAAGCAATTAATAAACATTTCCAACTTGAAGACTTTTCATTGCTCCCTGGGCTCCTGTAATTTGGTTCCACAGTAGCCTCTGTTATGACATTCCTTGGCTGTTGCTCAAAATCACCATTGCTGTGTGTAATCAGAAGGCCAGTGACAGAAGGAGTAATAGTTTCCTCATTAAGCCATGTTGTGCCTCCTCACCTCCCAAGGCAGGGTACTTCCAGCAGAGGGGTGGGTCCTCTGGTATTCAGGAAAAAGCAACCTCAGAGTTGTTGACAGAAGCTCCAACACAAGCAGCCTCCTAAAGGCCCCACATGCTCATTATTGTACTAAAGTATTGCACTAAAAGGGGAAAACTAAATATGGTGTCTGGTGCCCAAAAAGGCTCTTGGAAAAGTTTTTGCTGCCAGAAATGGGTCTTTCCTTGAGGACAGTCTCAGCCAATCAGAGTTTTTTCTGATGATGTAATGCTTTGCAAACAAATTGTATTGGTAGGAAAGCGCTTAGGTATTGTGAGGGTGTAGAGTTTCCAATGTAGCTCAGGAAAAAATTGTCTGTGGCTTCGTTTAAGTTTCGACTGAATTCCATTGTGCTTATATTTCCAACCAAGCTGAACTTGTGTTTGGCACTTGTTAAAAAATTGGGAATCAAGAAACTTTCTTTTCCTCGGATGTCAAAAGCTGCTGATTCCTTGTCTAAGATGTATCCATTTAAGAAAAACCAAACCAAACCAAACCAAAGCTAGCTGCTGATTAATCAACGTCTGCCATGTGCCGTGGTCATCACCCCACAGCTGTACTTATCGTCAGCAGAGGCCCTAGGAAGCTGACCAGCAGAGCATCAGCACACAACAGCGGGCAGGAAATGATGCCCCCACAGGTTAGGCTGTGGAAAGAGAGAATCTTTGGGGTGGAAAAGAAGTGAGAGCGCAGGCTACACATGCCTGTGTTTCCATGTGATGAATTCGCAGGCACGCGCTTGCCATGAGTCCGCTACGCACAGCGATGCAGCACTAAATATAGCTCCGAGCTTATTTCCCTCCTTCTGAATGTGTCGTCCCCAGCTCTAGAGCTTTTCCTCCCCCAGACAGAGCCCCTGCTGTCTGCCAGTCTGGGCTGGAATTAGCACACCGGTGCTGCGTAACTGGGTGTCCCTGCTGCTGGAGGCTGAGGCTGGTGCAGGCAGCTATAGCCGCAGTTGTGTTCCTTGGTTACCTGCGTCCAGGAGCCTAGGCCACCCACCCTTCACCACGTATGCAAAGGATGTCATCGCCTGATTCACTGTCTCTGTGATTTGAGACAGCAGGCTGTTCCTCTCCCCACCACCTCTCCACCACACCACAGCCTTTCTCTCCGGATCATCTGCCACGCCCTCTCCTCATCCGGGAAACCTCAGGCCAGCGCCACCTTGCTTCAAGTCCTCCCGTCTCTCCAGTCAATTCTTTTCTCTCAGCTTTTATCTTCGCCACTCTCTTCCCAAATATGGGACAGCTAATTATGGCTGACTCAAACTGTGTCAGTGACTCACAAATATGTTTATGTATTTCATTCTATGTACCACCTATATTTCTTCCCCCCGCCCCCGACCGCAGCCTAGAAGAAAGAGCACTGGGCTTGAATCCAAATGCAGTGTCCTGGGAATCAACATTGGGATAGTAAAACTTCTACTGCAGGGATTTTGTGAGATAAAATAAGATAATATATACCTGGCACATAGTAGGAGCTTCATAAAGATTGGTTGAATCTGCCCTGGAATATAAACTCTTTACACATTCTTCTTCCCTTATGTACATACTTTTCCATTTCCCCAGCACCCAGTCCCTCTGAGAATAGGGACATGTAATCAGTGCCAATTGACATACCTTGATTTTTAGTATACCTGTTTGGATCAGGAATCCTTAGCAATGGGTAATTTTAGGCATCAAAAATTATAATGGCAATGAAATAATCTCATAGGTTGCGAGGGGAAGTGGGAGCTACTTTCAGTGGGATATTCAAGGCCAACACAGGCAAAATTGCACGGGACACATTGCAATGCCATTACCTGTCACTATAAAGAAACTTTCTTCACCTATTTCCTCTTACTCTTCTGGTCTTACTTTCAGCTGGCATTCAACTAATTAATTCCTACAGAGGTGTTAACGGATAAGGCAGTTCTGATAGGGTGTCAGCCGATAACGGCCCTAAGGGCCCAGCCTGACTTGTTTTGCCAGGCCTCCTATCACATCAGAAAAGCAGCTTCCAGAAGATGGAAACCCTTTGCAGGCCCACAGGAAATGTTTTCCTTGGGATCAGAAAGGAGTGGGAGGCAGGCACTGCTGTTCCCTCCTAAGGCCAGTGATGGCGTGACTGGAACGCAGAGAGGGGTTTCTTGGGCTGGAGAGAGGGATTTCTTGGGCTGGAGAGGTAGGCAAGACCTCGACTCCTAACCCCCACCTTTGCCATCCTCAATGGCATTTTTTTTTTTTTTTTTGAGACAGTGTTTCGCTCTTGTTGCCCAGGCTGGAGTGCAATGGCGCGATCTCAGCTCACTGCAACCTCCACCTCCCTGGTTGAAGCAATTCTCCTATCTCAGCCTCCTGAGCAGCTGGGATTACAGGCACCTGCCACTACACTCGGCTAATTTTTGGTACTTTTTAGTAGAGACAAGGTTTCACCATGTTGGCCAGGCTGGTCTCAAACTCCTGACCCCTGGTGATCTACCTGCCATGGCTTCCCAAAATGCTGGTGTGTCCAGAATTTATTTCTTCCGGTGGGTTCTTGATCTCACTGACTTCAAGAATGAAGCCACGGACCCTCGCAGTGAGTGTTACAGTTCTTAAAGATGGTGTGTCCGGAGTTTGTTCTTTCTGATATTCAGATCTGTCCAGAGTTTATTCCTTCTGGTGGGTTCGTGGTCTCACTGACTTCAGGAGTGATGCCACAGACCTTCTCAGTGAGTGTTACAGCTCATAAAGGTAGTGCGGACCCAAAGAGTGAGCAGCAGCAAGATTTACTGTGAAGAGCAAAAGAACAAATATTCCACAGTGTGGAAGGCGACCTTAGTGGGTTGCTGCTGCTGGCTTGGGTGGCCAGCCTTTATTCCCTTATTTGGCCCCACCCACATCCTGCTGATTGGACCATTTTACAGAGTGCTGATTGGTCCATTTTACAGAGTGCTGACTGGTGTGTTTACAATCCTTTAGCTAGACACAGAGTGCTGATTGGTGCGTTTTTACAGAGTGCTGATTGGTGCATTTACAATCCTTTAGCTAGACAGAAAAGTTATCTGAATTCCCACCTGACCCAGAAGTCCAGCTGGCTTCACCTCTCACTGGGATTACAGGCATGAGCCACTGCATTCGGCTGGCATCTCTTAATCTGCTGCCAGGGGGCCAAATGACAGGGACACAGATGATGGGCTATTCACAGCCTCCCAACGACCTCAGTTCTTAGCAGCCTCTGGAAGGAAAATTTTTTGAACTCTGACCCTTCCAGACAACCCCCATCTGCCACCCTTCCTCCCTGAGTATCAGACAAGGGCACCTTTTGTGAAAGACACACTGGTCTTGCTGGGCACAGCTCTCATTTTGCTGGCTGGGTACTTGCATAATCCTGAGAGTCAGCAACCCCTAAATCTTACACCCTAGACACCTCATTTGTCTCACCCCAATCCCAGCTCTGCAAAGTTGCTAGACGGGTAGATATACATGCAATCTTATTTTTCATTGCTTCGGGATATTTAAGGCACATTCCAAATCACTTTATTTGAGCTACAGTGAAGCCATATTAGAATTTGGAATCGTTGACGCCTATTCTAGAGTTTTCCCTCCATACTAACGCTCCCAGGAGCGCTGAAACCCAGCATCCATACACAAAGGATGCGTTTAGCTACAACGGTAAAAAGTTCACACTTTTCTCTAAAAGTTCTCCGTGTTTTAAAATACATTTCGAGGAGAAAAAAAAAAAATGGAATTTTGGGTTTTCACCCAAGGTGCCTAATACCTTGGTGATATAGTCTGGATGTTTGTTCCCTCCAAATATCATGTTGAAATGTGATCCCCACTATTGGAGGTGGGGCCTGGTGGGAGGTGTTTCGATCACGAAGGCAGATCCTCATGAATGGCTTGGTGACATCCTCCTGGTAATGAGTTAATTCTTGCTCTATGAGTACACGTGAGCTCTGGTTGTTTAAAAGAGCCTGGAACTTCCTACCTCCCTCTCTTGCTCTCCTTTTTGCCATGTGACACACAGACTCCCCTTCACCTTCCAACAAATTGGAAGCTTCCTGAGGCCTCACCAGAAGTAGATGGTGACATGATGCTTTGTGTACAGCCAGGAGAACCATGAGCCAAATAAGTCTCTTTTCTTTATAAATTACTCACTCTCAGGTATTCAGTGGAATAGCTGATGTTTATAGCAATGGAAACAGACTAACACACTTGGCTAATCTAGGTGTTTCCCCCATCCTATTTCTCTGCGTCACTAACTAACTTTACCTGTGCACCTGAACACTGCTTTTCGCAGTAGAAAAGGGCAGGTGGGTGAGCCATGTACCTGTTTATGAGGCTGTCTTAGGAAAGCCTTTCTCAAATGATGTGCAAATTCTGCTGGCAGATCTGCATCCAGCCTCACCAAACCTGCTTTGCTTCAGGCACTGATGCCTTCAATCCATAGACTCAACACTACATTCTCAAGATAATGCAGACCAAGTTAGGCAGGATAAAAATTGTAGGTCTTTCTGTCCTAGTCTTTGCATTCCCTTTCTCAGAGGTGAGGCCCTAGGCAACCACATATCCCCAAAGCTACAGTCTCCTTCCCTCCTTCATACTTGCTTAAAATGAGTATTATTTTCCTCGTTTTCATACCAGTTCTACTTCTGGAGTGGCACCTGTTGTGAAGTCCTGCCCCTTAGTGGGGCCCTGATCACAGTATCTCTTGCTAGATCCTTCTTTTGAGGGGCTGGACTTTGCTCTCACCACCCCTAGCCCCTTGCTGGGAGTCTGATTCATCCATGCCCATCATCTGGAATACCTGCTGCCTCCCTGATGTCAGCCATCTTCAGCATGTCTCCACTGCCTGTCCCCCATTTATGTATGGATTTATGCCCAGTTGAGCCTGGGAGTTTCCATGCAACCCTGCTCCCTAGTCTAGACCGTGGGCTCTTTCTGTGGGCCGTGGTACTGCTGGGGTGCTTTCTGTTGGCTGTGTTACCCCATGATTATTTAAATCAAACTGTCTACACATTACAGCCTGCTGTTTCTTGAGAAAAAAATTGCTCGAATCCCACTTCCATCTGCACTCTACATTCTTGGCTATCTATCCTGACTGTAATTCCTGCCTTTGGCACTGCCCAAATCTGGCAGTCTTCCTTTTTCCATCCTCTTTGGACCTTGGCTGTCCTCCCCACTTTCTGGCTGGTTCACCATTCTTCCTGGCATTCTCACTGTCTCAGGGGAGGGGTCTGTATCATGCTTCCTGACCCCTCAGAAATCTTCATTTCTTCTCCTGGTCAGCACTTGTCATGTCTCAGTCCTCGGACTTCCATCTTCTCACTCCCACTATGGTTGAAACCTACCTTTATGCATTAACAACAGTACGATGCATGGGTATGTCGCCTAACTTAAAGAGTCAGGAGGGAGAACAGGACAACCTTTAGTTTTGGCCTCATCTCAGCCCAATTTCCTCCTCCTTCCTCACAGACTAGTCTATTTTTGACTGTTTAAAAACCTGTAGTGGCCAGGCGCAGTGGCTCACGCCTGTAATTGCAGCACTTTGGGAGACTGAGGCAGGTGGATCATGAGGTCAGGAGTTCGACACCAGCCTGGCCAATATGGCAAAACCCTGTCTTCACTAAAAATACAAAATTAGCCAGGCATGGTGGTGCACACCTGTAATCCCAGCTACTCGGGAGGCTGAGACAAGAGAATTACTGGAACCCAGGAGGCGGAGGTTGCAGTGAGCCGAGATCATGCCATTGCACTCCAACCTGGGCAAAAAGAGTGAAATGCCATCTTAAAATAAATACATACATACATAAATAAAAACCTGTAGCAAATATGCAACCATATATTCAGTTGTGTGCACATTTAAAAAAATCAGCCTTGAATCCAACTATTTGCTTATCTGCCTGTAAATTTAATTTTTGGTTGAGAAAACATAATCACTGAAGGTGTATGTGGCAGAGACAGTGCGCACTCAAATCCTGTATGCTTCCTCTGATGTCGCAGCAGCCTCCCTTGCAGTTAGGTGATGTAAACTATGACTGTAAGTATCTTCTTCCTCCCTCTCTCCCCCTGCAGTGACCTTGATAGCTACAAGTGGAGATGGATCTTTGAGCTATCAGATGGAAGGCTGTCTCGCAGACCCATGCTGGATTTTACATAAATAAGAAATGTAAGTGTAACTTTGTGGTGCTAAGTCACTGAGCTTTTTGGGTTTGTTTGTTATTACAGCATAGCTTAACACTGCTCTGACTAATGCCATATACAAAGCTTAAACACGTGTGGGGGTTCATTTCTTCATCTGCCGGCACCCAAGAAGAATTGCTTTCCTAAAAACTTAAAATGTATAGAAATTATATGTACGTATTATGGAAAATTATGAAATACAAATAAACAAAAAAGAAAGTAAAAATCATCTATAATCCTCTTGGTCAGAGTCATCTACTGCTAACATTTTGGTGTCCAGACATCATGTTTTTTCTATGTATATAGAAATATAAATTTATGTATATGTGCACATAAACTTATATTTACGTTTACGTGTTATTTTAGAACCTACCTTTTTTTGAGAGAGGAGGAGAGCCCTCCATCACGCAGGCTGGAGTGCAATAGTGTGAGCACGGCTCACTGAAGCTTTGACTGTCTGGGCTCAAGCAATCCTCCCACCTCAGCCTCTTGAGTAGCTGAGATGGCTGAGACTTCAGGCATGCACCACCACACCCGGCTAATTTTTTAACTTTTTGTAGAGATAGGATCTTGCCATGTTACTGAGGCTGGTCTCAAACTTCTGGGCTCAAGCCATCCACCTACCTTGGCCTCCCAGAGCGCTGGGATTGCTGGTGTGAGCCACTGTGCCTGGACACAACCTACTTTTTTATTTCTGTTATTTTTCCCAAAGCGACAAATACTATTCTAGAACACGATTTTTTTTTTTTTTTTTTAATCTCACTTTGTCAGCCAGGCTAGAGTGCAGTGGTGCAATTTCACTGTAACGTCCACCTCCGGGGTTCAAGCAATTCTCCTGCCTCAGGCTCCTGAGTAGCTGGAATTATAGGCTCATGCCACCATGCCAGGCTAGTTTTTGTATTTTTAGTAGAGACAGAGTTTCACCATGTTGACCAGGCTGGTCTCAAACTCCTGACCTTGTGATCTGCCTGCCTCAGCCTCCCAACATGCTGGGATTACAGGCGTGAGCTACCACACCCAGCCTAGAACATAATTGTTAATCATTGCATAGCACTGCGTTATGATAGCACCATGATTTATATACTGTTATCTACTATCTTCTTCAACTGAAATTGCTGCAGTAACGTTTCTACTTCTTTTCTACATATTTTATCACTTACTTCCTCTCCTACTCACAGACCAACTCTTAATCATCGACATTCATAGAATGCAAATGAGGTAATCCAAAAATAATAAAAATGGTCATGAAATTCACAATGTGATCATTTGGATGGGGAAGGAAGAAGCAAAGTTTTTGCAGTGCATTCATCCTCATAATGATGATTATTATTCATATTTGCTTGACAAATTTTGGGTTTTATTCTGAGTAGTAATAACTGACTTGGTGGTTGCAAAGGAGATGGTAGGGTAGGTAACAATAGAAAGCTGCTTTAATTAGCATTCCATGTGGTTGCAAGAAACAAAAACAACAATGAACTCAAACTTATAGTAGCTTAAACAAAGACAGAAGCGTATTTCACTCTCAGATAAAATTCTGGAGGTAGACATCCCCATATCGCGCTCCCTGGAGTATCAGAGACTCAGGTTTCTTCTACTTATTCCCTGTGAATTTTTTCCATTGCCAAGGTCACTGAGCAAGATCTGAAATGGTTGCTTTAACTTAAACCATCACATCTATATTCCACCCAGAGGAGAGGATGTAAAGAAAGATGAAGAGAATGTCTCTTCTAAAATGCATTTTTTTGGAGGTTGAACATATCAAGTTTGGTTAGACACTTGGCCATATGTGGGTCCAAGGGAGGCTGGGAAATGTTGTCTTTATTCTGAGTGTCTCTGTGCCCAGATAAAAATTGGGGATGCTGGGCCGGGCATGGTGGCTCACACCTGTAATGCCAGTACTTTGGGAGACCGAGGTGGATGGATCACTTGAGGTCAGGAGTTTGAGACCAGACTGACCAAGATGGTGAAAGCCCTTCTCTACTAAAAATACAAAATTAGCTGGGCATGGTGGTGCACACCTGTAATCTCAGCTACTTGGGAGGCTGAGGCAGGAGAATTGCTTGAACCCAGGAGGTAGAGGTTGCAGTGAGCCAAGATCGCATTATTGCACTCCAGCCTGGGTGACAGAGTGAGACTCCATCTCAAAAAAAAAAAGAAAAAAAGAAATTGGGGATGCTATTGCAATAGAAGAAGGGAAGAATGGGTGTTGGGGGACAACCAGATATTGCTGACATAAGAACCACTAGGTGATTTATAATGCCCACAAGTAAATAATTCAATCCAGCCCCTGATGGAGGAGGATCCAACAAAAGGAAAATATCTATTACATCAACAATAAAATGTAATCAAGCTCTCACAATGAACAGATGGACTAAAAAAATACACATTCAGTACTTTAATTCCTGTTGGATTTCTGAAATCAGCCAGCTCCTTCGAATGAACATGTGCTAAAGAGAAGAACAACTGATAACCTCTTGAGCATCTTAATTAGCACTGGATTTCCTCAGAATGGTGCTGTGTAATACATCAGAAACTGAGCACAGCAGATTCCAGGCACACCTAGGTCTAATTCCCAAGTCCCTCAAATAAAGGAAGTGAGAAGAGCAGGTCATGTATATAGGGGGAGAAAGCTAGTCACCTTCACACTTCCCAGCTTTTGCTCTCGTGGCTTCAGCTCCCTAGAATCCCTCGTCTCTTCTCTATGTGAAGAAGCGCTGCTCTTCCTTCTCACTCTTTTTTTTTTTTTTTTTTTTTGAGACAGAGTCTCCCTCTGTTACCCAGGCTAGAGTGCAGTGGCGCAATCTTGGCTCACTGCAACATCTGCCTCCCGAGTTCATGCCATTCTCCTGCCTCAGCCTCCCGAGTATCTGGGATTACAGGCGCCCGCCACCACACCCAGCTAATTTTTTGTATTTTTAGTGGAGACGGGGTTTTACTGTGTTAGCCAGGATGGTCTCGATCTCCTGACCTTGTGATCCGCCTGCCCCAGCCTCAAAGCGTTGGGATTACAGGCGTGAGCCACCGCACCCGGCCTCTTCCTTCTCATTCTTGAAGAAACTAGTCAAGTATTTCTTAGGGCACCTGTTCTTTGACCCTTTAGTTTTGTATCATTCATTCATTCAGGCATTCATTCATGATAGAGTCTACCATGTACCAGGCAATCTACTAGGCATTGTGGGGTGGAGTGGGGGGACTCAAGGACAAACTAGATAAGACTGTGGCCTCAGCCTGCATATAACACTAATTAGATTAGATTTGTTTAGTCAGACAGCCCAGCACATTGGGGCAAGGGTTAGTAGCCCCGATATGCTGTGCCATCTGGCTAAACAAAGAATAGATAGCTCCAAGAGGGCAGAAACCTGGTACTTTAATTAGCACATATGTATAGAGCTCTCACTATGTGCTAAGCATATAGCGTATATATATTTCTATTCTATGTGCTTAGAGTATATTACTCTTCTAAATCTTATGACAATCCCATGAGCATGTACTTATTATCATCACCCTATTTTGCAGATGATGAAACCGAAGCATAGAAAGGTTAAGTAATTTGCCCAAGAACACACAGCTAGTAAGCAGTGAATGTAAAATTGAATACAAGGAGACTGGCCCTAGCGTGCATGCCCAACTCATATTCTTCACTTCATTACTATTCACACTGTTCTGTATTCCCAGTATTGAACAGGATGCCTGGAATCTCGCAGTTATTCAGTAAACATATGTTGACTGGAAATGAGCTGGCTGCTCAACACTGGCCAAGTTATCCTCTCAGCCATAATCCCTACAAAGATAAAAAGAGGTTAGACTGGAAGACCTCTACGATCCCTGGAAATTATGAACTATGGAATTGTAATTATTTTTCTTATTCACAGCCTAAATCATCTTTTAGCTGAGGTCTGGAAGAGATCTTGTGGGATCATATGTGGAATTCTGGATTTTAGCCAGACATCCTCCATAGTAACTAGGCAAAAATTCTTTTAGTTTATCAAATCCTTTAAGATGTGTCGCCTTTTTGAAGCTAAGTAGTAGGCGATTCACAGATTTTATGAATAATGTATGACAGACAAGATATCCAAAAAGTTTCTTCATAAGATGGATAGGTAAACTGCTTTCCTCTTGCATATACACCAGTTTGGTAGCAAAGAATATTTTGGAACATTTCATTTCAATTTTAATAAGATAGTGTCCTTAGCCACCAAGAGGTATCTAAGAGTGGACACTGTAATATTTCTCAGGCCTCTATTCTTTGTAAATTTAGCTGCTAACAATGCATTACCTCCAATTAACTGCTCTAAATTACTCTTTCAGATTATACTATTGCATGACATTGTTTCCCAAAGACCTGAGCATACAGTGCCAGGCGTTTGACCAAAGGGCCAGAAAATCCCCATGATCTGACCAAATGCCAGTTGAGGTCATTATGCTTTGGCCAGTTCTCTCCTCCCTACGGTGTCAGTTGGCTACTTTAGCCTTCACCACCCAGCGCATGCTGCTTGGTAATCACTGAGTTGGCTGGACTGTCTTCTCTCGTGAGTACTGTTCAGAAAGAGGCATTGAGTTGGGCTAACACTGACTGTAGGGAAGAATATTGGTGGTAATAAGCTTCTCTAAGCTGAAATCAACAGAGGTATTATTTTCTCTGTAGGGCTGAAGTCAACAGGGAGCAGGACTGTATACTCTTGCATTTGAGGATTTAACCTACAGCATGTGGTTTTGACTATTTGTTTGACTTTGAAAGTCCCTGATGTAATGATTTATCATTTTGCTGAGGCAGGATTGAACACAAACACTGTGAGAGCAGTAGAAAGTTCATAGTGAGTCACCTCACCAGCTAGGGAGCCTAGTCAACCACCTCACATCTGGGTATGTCTCCACTTGGGTATCTAATATACGATTTCCTTTAATTCTCTTGACAGCTTTGTAAGAGTCTTATTATTATCCCCATTTTATGCATGAGAGAATTACATGTTCTAGTGCCGCTCACACATTTAAAAATATTTGGAGATCTAAGAACGAGCTTTTTCCCTCAAAGGTTTATTTTGTGGGAGGAGGGCTGGAGGCAAACTTAGGTAGAGAGACGTGAATTCATAGCACATGCATCATAATCAATGTATGGGGGTTCCTCTCTTGATTGATGGATTGATTTCTTCCTTCATCCCCAATCTCCACTCTTATTCTCTTCCCTCATGAATTCTTGCAAGTGAACCTTATAAATACAGAATTCAGTATGTATGTGTTTTTAATTTACATAAATGACATTGTGTTTACATCTCATTCTCTTTCTTGCTTCTGAAACTCAAAACTAGGATTTTAATGCTCAACCAGGTCACTAAATGTGTATCTAGTTCAATGCTTTGAATTGCAGAGTATTATTCCATAGTAGGCATTCCTGATATTTTATTTAAATATTTCCCTTGTTGTGGACGTCAGGATAATTATATGTGTATACATATATTTACTCTACATAATATATATTATGTATCTCCTATCTAGATATGTGGGATTGATGTCATAGCACATATGTACATTCACTTCACTAAGAACTGCCAGATGGCTTTCCAAGTGGTTGTACCTGTTTACACTCCCACCAACAATCCATGTCACATTCTTGATATTATTTATCAAAGTTTTATTTGAGTCGATTTACCAATTTTCTTAAGTCTTTGTATAGTGGAACAATTAACTGGAAATCTTAACAAAAGAAAGGTAGGAAGGAGTTAGGCAAGTGTGACTTTCCTGGCCCCTTCCTCAATAATTTCTGTCTCCCATTCTCCTCTCCTGTCCTGTGTTCCTTATTCCTTTCAGATTGTTCCAGAACCTGCTACAAGAAATTACTCTGAACTTTCTCCCTGAACCACTTCCTTCCTTTTCATCAGTTATTTTTTCCTTCCTTCCTTCCTTCCCTCCTTCCTTCCTTCTTCCTTTCCTTTCTTTCCCTTCTTTCTTTTCTTTCTTTTTTTCTTTGACAGAGCCTTGCTCTGTCAGCCAGGTTGGAGTGCAGTGGCACTATCTTGGCTCACTGTGACCTCCACCTCCTGGGTTCAAGCAATTCTCCTGCCTCAACCTCCCCAGTAGCTTGCACTACAGGCATGCACAGCCATGCCCAGCTAATTTTTTTTTATTTTCAGTAGAGATGGGGTTTTGCCATGTTGGCCAGGTTGGTCTCGAACTCCTGACCTCAAGTGATCCACCTGCCTCAGCCTCCCAAAGTTCTGGGGTTACAAGCATAAGCCAATGTACCTGGCCTCATCAGAGTTTTCTATGCACCTCAGTAGAATGTTCTCCATCTCCTTTCTAGGTCTCCAAATTCCTCCTATTTTGTGAGGTACAAGTTAAGAACCAATTCCTCTCTAATTACTCTAGCCTACACTTGTCTCTCCTAATTTTGACTACATATATCATGTTTGGGGGTCTTATTTTTATTCAGTTTAACTCTATTATGTTCCATGTTGTTTTCAAAAAGAGAAATTGGGCAAATAAGATGTATAGTGTTTGGTTAGCTTCATTCTTCCAGGAGGTCACTAGTTGTGGACCACAGACTACATCTGACTTACACTCACCAAGTTCTTGTGGGAAAATCAGATACATGCACCAGGCAATATTACCTACCACCTTGAGTCAATCTTCTATAGGATTATAGAAAGATTTTGTCAATAGTAGAAATACATAACAAGCATTACATCTGCAAAATATATAACCAGGCAGTCTTACAAAATCTCTCTCTCACTGGTTATATATATATTTATATATATCGAAAAACTTCGAGTTTGTGGAGGTAAAAAGTATGAGGTGGATCCCAGGAGCCTCTGTGGCACTCTCCGCAGAGCTGTAGCCTGTTCCCAGCAGGTGCTGACCTCATTGATCTTTCAACAACCACCTGCTCATTACCTGAACAATAAGGTTCCTAGAAGACACTGATCTTCTTTTTTCATCTCTTTCCCATAATTGAGCCACCAAAATTAAATAATTCAGAGAAATACTCTTACCCACCACTGTTACACTATACTATTTTGCATTCTCTGTTTTCTGCATACAAACTCTACATTGCAAAGGGAACCACTAATTGCTTAACCAAAATTTACTTTCTTCTTTCTTACAGTCAAAACTTTGACGTTATCCAAGATGGCATGGGTCTAGCTGTAAAACTACCTTTCCCAGTCTGTTTGGCAGGTGGAAGTCTATGTGACAGTTGTTGCTATTAAAATAAAAGCCACAGATATGGTGTAAGACTTTCTAGAATGCTCTTTTTCTTTCTTTTTGAGACAGGGTCTCGCTCTGTCACCTAGGCTGGAGTACACGATCATGGCTCACTGTAGCCTGGAATTCCTGGCCTCAAACGCTCCTCCCACTCAGCCTCCCAGGTAGCTGAAATACAGGCATGTACACCATGCCTAGCTAGTTTTTTTTTTTGTAAAGTCCCACTATGTTGTCCAGTCTGGTCAAGAATGTTCTGTAAAAGGAAACAACTCAGTTGGCACCCACCGATGCCCTCATCCTTTCTTTTTCTTTCTGCTTAGAATGTGGTCATGATGGCTGAGGATAGAGGTGGAGCAGGTGCCATGCCGCTCTCATGAGATGGAGACCACATACTCTAAGAAAGCTGAACAGAAAAATAAAAGGTGTCTGAGTCTCTGATGACATAATGGAGCTACCATAACCACCATGGATATCATCTAGGTGCTTTGTAATATAAGAAGAATAAACCCTCTAATTGGTTCAACCATTGTGTTTGCATGTTATTTATTGCATGCAGTCAAACTCAAATCCCGATTGTTATTTGTTTGCTTTTGACAAACCTGTACTCCCAAAGAATCTTGCAGTGGTTCAAAGGCAGCCTGATAGGGAAACCATCTGTTCATCCTTAAGGAGAGCCCAGTGGTTCTCCAGGTCAGACCTGTGGTGTTCACTTATCAAGCTTGTGAGCTCTGCTTCTCTTGCATCTTACCAACTTTCTGCGGCTGATACGGGACATCACCCCCAGTTTAGAGGTTTGTAACAGACTGTCTTCCTTACTAGTGGAGACTTCCTTTAATCGGAAAGACATCAAGTGCCACATGCTTACTTTCCTAGTTTCCTTTGCGGTGACAGTATAGACATGTGACCTAATCTGGTCCAAAGAGACCAGAAGGGAAAGCAACTGGAACACGTGGAAACAAATGTCCTTTCTTCTTCACTGGAAATGATGCCTAGAAATGCTGAGTCATCTGTGGTCAGTGGCATGGAGAGGATGATAAGACATCGACAGGAAGCACTTGGATGCCTGGCACACCTCTCTGTCATATCCCCAGCCCTGGATGCCAACTGCCTTTGAACATCTGCTTATTGTTTACACCACTTCTAAGGATATTCTGCTCTTGGCACTTAAAAGGACTCCAATGATACAGGGGTGTCAGAATAGGGCTGGTCGCCTGCTTCAGCATTTCTTTTCTTTTTTTTTTGAGATGGAGTTTCGCTCTTGTTGACCAGGCTGGAGTGCAGTGGGGAGTGCAGTGGTGCGATCTCGGCTCACTGTAACCTCTGCCTCCCAGGTTGAAGCGATTCTCCTGCCTCAGCATCCCAAGTAGCTGAGATTACAGGCGTGAGCCACCACATCCGGCTAATTTTTTTGTATTTTTATTAGAGACAAGGTTTCACCATGTTGGCCAGGCTGGTCTTGAACTCCTACCCTCAGGAGATCCACCCGCCTCAGCCTCCCAAAGTGCTGGGATTACAGTCATGAGCCACGGCGCCCGGCCCTGCTTCACCATTTCTAAGTCTCTTTCTTTAGAGTAAGCTCCTCAATGCCTTAGCCAGTTAGACCTCTGGGTACCTGCTTGGCTGGTCATTCAAACGCGCCCAGACAGGTCTGAATCTGCAAGGAGTATAGTGTAAATGTCATGCTGGGACTCTTCCTTTGCATGTTTAATGTAACCCCCATTTAATATTGCACATTTTCATACAATGACCACTGTGTGGCATGCTGTTATTTTTTAAAATAGTAAAACAATTTTTATGCTTGATGAAAAATACTTATAAGGAAAACTAATTGTTAAAAAGCAATCAATAGTTTATTAAAAAAATCCACAAACATGAATTAAAATATGTGCAATCAAACATAGCCCTAAATTTTTATCACTTAATTAAAATATTTGAAAATAATTTTCAGTTTTCTTAGGAACAATCCATAGCATTCAAAGAGGATGCCAGAGGATACATACTTTATTTGCTACAAATAAGTATTGTATTACCATGGCCACACTCTAATATTTCTTCAGATGTGATATTTGCTCCTAGTCAATCTGGTGGTATTAATTTGCTTTCTAAATCAGGCAGGGACTGCAGGACAGATAGGCTGAATATTTAATATTTCTGTTCAAAACTTCAAGATACATGTACCTTTCAAGTTGCTCTTCAGCCTCTTTCTTGCCACAGCAGGATTGCTGCTTAGATGGTCAATTCTAAATGGAAGAACTCCAGCCCTCTCTAACTCACACAAAGCGCTTGGTTGAAAAGAGAACCTGGCCGGGCGTAGTGGCTCACTCCTGTAATCCCAGTTACTCAGGAGACTGAGGCACAAGAATCACTTGAACCCAGGAGACAAGATGGCATGGGTCTAGCTGTAAAACTACCTTTCCCAGTCTGTTTGGCAGGTGGAAGTCTATGTGACAGTTGTTGCTATTAAAATAAAAGCCACAGATATGGTGTAAGACTTTCTAGAATGCTCTTTTTCTTTCTTTTTGAGACAGGGTCTCGCTCTGTCACCTAGGCTGGAGTACACGATCATGGCTCACTGTAGCCTGGAATTCCTGGCCTCAAACGCTCCTCCCACTCAGCCTCCCAGGTAGCTG